GCTACAATACCATTAGAAAAAATTTAATTTCTAGGAATAGTAAAATTGGTGAAGATATCGCGACAGATAATTAGCATGTTTTGGTATGATAATGCTTTACTATTTAATTATGCAAACTCAGACTAGTACCTGCAGATGGTATCTACTATAGCTGATGCAAGTCCGCGTTTCAAATCTCCAACTGTAAAGGACCTTGCAAGGTTATGTTTAGAAAATATTGTCGAGGATATAGATAAGCATATTAGGCAATTCATAGTCTGTTGGCCAGGTACTAGAATGTTCAGCATAACATATGGTTGGAAGGGCAACCCATAGATATCTTGTCAAATTTTTAATAAGTTTCTTGAAGGACATTGTTTACCCCTCTAGCATTGACCTATACAATAAAAAAATGAATGCAAAACTACTATGCATGCACATGGACAAGATTGTAGATGAGGTTGGAGCTAAAAATGTGACCCAATTAGTAATTGACAATGCTTCAAATTACAGAAAAGCATGGATGTAGCTAATGGAGAGAAGAGTTGATCTTTTTTGAACTCCTTGTGTCGCTCACTATATTAATTTGATACTTAAGGACATAGGGAAACTGAAGAGGATTAAAAATTATATTTTAAAATGCAAGATCATTACAAGATTCGTATACAATCACGCTTACCTCCACGCTTTGATAATGGAACATTAATTTTTATACTAAAAAATGCAGGCAAGGGACCTCGCTCCGGCCTTGGTTTCAGGTCCAAACGAATTGAGAAGTTGGAAGAGAATGGGTCTCATCAAATTACATTCCAAGGGAGAATCGGGTCCTAAGGTCTTATCTCTCTCGGACCGCCGGTCAAGCCGGCTTTCCTCCTATTTCAACATTGGAACTCAACAAGCAGATTTTGAAGGTAAAAAGGTGATTTTAGAAAAATAGGTTTAGAAAAAGAGAGGACAAGTACGAATAAGCTAACAAACTAGGGAGATAAAGATATACAGTAGTAAATAATCTAACTATAAAATACAAGAAGAATACGAAAACAAAAAGTTTAGAGAAAATGAGATCTAACACATGCCATAAACTAAACATGCATCACATAAAAAGAGAGAGATAATACTATAGAAATAAGGTAATGAACATGAAGAAGAAAGAAAAAGAGATATCTACTAGAGAGATAAAAAGGTATAAATATAAAATGTGAATAAAAAAGAACAAGCACGAGAAAAGAAGGGATGAGACTAATATTATTAGATGACATGTAATGAGAGTAATGAAAATTGATGCAAAAAAGGAATAAAAGGGAAAGACGTTAGAACATGTTGGTCAACCTCAATTACATCTTCCGAAAGGACATCACCGATGAGTAGGTATTGTAGAGGACTACAATATTAGACCAAGATTTCTTTATGGGAGTAGTTGCCAATATGAATGATAATGCGAACGTTGCAACACCAATGAAGCGGACATGGCAGAGGACATAGACACCGATTATGAGAAGTACGCAGAGGACGAAGATGACTGACATGATAATGAGGAGATAGATGGGGCAATGGAAAATGATTAGCAAGATCCAGTCGTGGATGAATGTGAAGGGGCACAACATGATACATTGCCCAATGTACATGAAGATGATCCTAGATATTGGTTCAGGAAGAAGTCCAGACATCGAGGTATAACAACTACTTGGCAAAAGAGAGACAAAGTCATAGCTGATACCACAATCTGTTTCTGATGACAACAATATCGAAGTTGTTGAGGGTCATAACATGGAGCAAGGTGGGGGAGACCACGACGGCTAGACGAGTCTATGAAACTTTAGCCAAGAGGATACCACGAGAAATATTCCTGACGGGTGCAGCACTACAAATTCCACCAGTGGTTACTCAGATTATTCACTTAGTGAACCTTGATAGCGACACATAACATTATCTTGGCCCCCTCGCTACTCTCATTACTACTAGCTGTTATTAGTTGGACTTTGTAACTCCCTCGATTGAATTAATGTCAAATTCTAAATTGTCTTGCACATCTCCCTAGTTTTCATTATATTAGTTTATATAAAAATTATTTTTTAAAAATAAATATTGATAATAAGATAATATACACTTATTTTATATTTATTCATTGTTTTTAGATTTTTTTACCCATTTTAAAAAAAATTATGTTGGATCGAACCGACCCGATTCTAATCTGACAGCTTTCAGCCCCATGTCTGGTTAAACATGCCAGTTCGATCTTTTGGACACTGGGTCGACCAAACATCATAATGTAGACCTTGCTTAACCCAGTAGCTTATGTGACCGATGCCTTGCATACTTTCACTTATCAATTTATGACAGCAGCAATCGCTTTCACATTCTTCTCTAACTGGTATTTACTCCCTCGTTTCTGCTCCCTCGAACGTGGAAAAGAAGACCTTTCTTACCAAGGAGCCAAGGACATGAATAGCTAGGGCTCTGATATTACATGAGAAGAACCTTTTGTGTTTTTTGCTAAAATAAATCTTTATATTTCTCTTAATGAAAATTTTTGTGCAACGCCCTAATTTACATAGGATTCTGTGACCATGTATAAACCATTCTTAGAGAAATTGGTCAGTCGGAGCCGAAATCAGTTGGTTAGCGCGAAATTGGTACGGTTTCAAGTCCAATTAGGGGCGGTTTTAGGGATCTCCTAGCCTAGGGTACAACTCCATAAAATTTTAGGCACAAAACTATATGGTTAGGAGTCGAACCAGTCGTGTTTTGGTCAAACCAGTCGGTTTTGCTGCTAACCGGATCGATTAGCAAATATAATGGGTTTTATGGACTAATAACATTATAGTTAAAATAACGGCCGTTAATTTTAGTTGAGGCTATTATTTGATGCAAGAATTCACAGATCGCTTTTTTCCATCTTTTTCAAGTTTTTTTTTTTTTCCTGCCATTTTCTGGTTTTTTTATGCTTTTATAACTATAAAACACTATTTATTGTCTATAAAACAAGCAAATTCGAATCCAAGATTGAAAAATCAAGAGATTTTGTGGATTGAAATGACAAACTTTCACGCCTTTTAAAATTTCCTCCATTTCATCAATATCACCTTCAACAGCCAGTGGTTTTTGTTGTAATTTGAGGGTTTTTAATCTAATCAAATCATCTACCATATACCTCTTCAATTTTTTTTAAAAAACAAAAGATTGGGGGTTGATTTTTGCCCGAAAAACTGTAACAAGAAGAACCTGTGTTCGAAAAGAAAAAAAACAGATTTCGGATTAATTTTTTGGTCTTTTTTATCAAATTGATTTGTGTATTTTCATCATCAAGGATTCATTTGTCATATAAATTAGGTATGCTTATTTATTATTGAGTAAATATATTTATATGAATTTTTTTCTTGCTCGATTTCATAGATTTGGATTTTCCATGATTTTTCAATTAAATAAATATACCAAATTATTATTATTTTTTATGATTTTTGGTGCATTTGAAAGGGTGATCGAAGCCTTTACAATGCTTATATGTTGATTTGTTCAATTATTCGATGGTCGTTTCTTTCTTGAAATGTTGCTTGATTTTAGGAGTTTTTGATAAATCAATTTTTCAAAAAAATTATTTTGCTTAATAAATTTATAAGTTTTGATGAATATGGAAAGTGTTTTTCTATTTTTCTTAATAAAATCATATATTTTGATAATTATTAATAAAATAATGTTTTTGATAAAATTATTTATTTTGATAAAAATATGTTGTTTTGATTAATATGACAAAACCAATATGTATCGGTCTCTCTATCTTGTGACATCTTGTCTTTTACCGATGAAATTCTATATGGACATGTAAAATTTGGTGGATCAATTTCTTTTCCATTGTTTTTAATTATGATTATCAGTATCTTATAGTGTTGTAAAACTTGAAAGGTAAGGTAATGTAAAAGATTTCATTTTAGGAAACAAAAATATTTATGTGACCTACTTGGGTCATGTACATGACCATAGTATTCAAATATTAATTTATATATATATTTATTTGTCAAAAAAAAGGTTGTTTCAATTTTTTTGTAACATAAAAGTATGTAATAAGATATTATACACTTAATCTAAAATTTTCTATTTGTTTATTTGTTGGGGGTTTTATGACCCATTTAAAAAAAATATCTACTTGACTGGTTAGTCCTGTTCTGGATCTAACCTCTCCCAGCCCCATGTTCAATTAACTGTTTCGGTTCAATTTTGCGAGACTGTTACAAAGAAACGGATATAATGAATTACCTCCCATACAAAAAGGCAAAAAAAAAAATTTGCAATTAATCAAATATTAATTTATATTATTATTTTTATTTGTAAAAAAAATTTGTTTCAAAATTTTTATAAAACAAAAGTATGTAATAAGATATTAATCTAAATTTTTCTATTTTTTATTTTTTGGCAGGGGTTTTACCCATTTAAAAAAAAGAAAGAAATCTACTTGACACACCAGAGACGTGTCCCACCGTCAGTTTCCCACTACGTACGGCAGGGATTAACCTTGGTCCCCTGCGATTAGCATGGCGCATGAATGATGCATCCTCAAAACATGAAGGCCTAGTGAAGGTGAATTTAGTCAATTATAAAGTACATGGGTAGTATAGTCATTTACGAAAACAGTGGAGAGGGTGGGGAATATTGGGTGTCTTTTACGAGGATAAAACATCCGTATGCAATAAAGTCAACATGCACACCCCCTGCCTTTTCCCTCTCTAACCAGTTTCTCTCTAAGTCCTCCTTTCTCTCTCTAACCAATTCCTCTCTCTAAGTCTTCCTTTCTCTCTCTAAGCAGTTCGTCTATAAGTCTTCCTTTCTCTCTCTAGGCAGTTCCTCTCTAAGTCTTGGTTTCTCTCTCTAAGCAGTTCCTCTCTAAGTCTTGGTTTCTCTCTCTAAGCAGTTCCTCTAAGTAAGTATTCATTTCTCTCTCTAACTAGTCTTTCTTTCTCTCTCTAATTAGTATTTCTTTCTCTCTCTAACTAGTCTTTCTTTCTCTCTCTAACCAGTTTCTCTCTCTGTCTTTTGTGCTCTTTTTCTTCAGTCTTTTACTATTTTTACTCTTTATCTTGTTCAAATTTTCTTTTCGAATTTAAAAAGCACCCAAAAAGAAAACGGTTACGAAGTGGGAGAGACACAATTGAGATCGTTTATTGGGTGGACGCAGAGATTAATTCGAGGCATGTTTCCTGCGTTCTGTAAAAACCAACGCCCTTTTTATTCTTTCCCTCTCTAAATTCCCAACTTCTTCAACTTTCTCTCTCTTCTTCTAAGTCATATTCACACAAATTCTCCCTCTCTCTCTTGGGCTTTGGGGTTTTATTGCTTCTCGATTGGATTTGCACTTTTAATGATCGGTCCATTTGCGTGATATGTGGAGGAAATTGGGTTTCAGGACTTCCATATTGCAAATTTTCTCCGTCTTATCAGGTAAGTCAAATTCACACAAATTCCTCTCTCTCTGTTGCTCTATTAGGTTTTTCGGTTTATGGGTATTTGGTTTTATGGTTTTCCGATCAGATTTAGGCGTTTTGAAATTAACCTATGATTTCTTCTGAAACTCAAGGTTATTTTTGGTTCTTTCAGATGTGGGTCCCTTGATGTATTCTTTGAACTGAAGGATACAATAAATGTTTGGGATTTAAAGGACAGGAGACACTTATTCAGATGTGTATCGATCGGCTGTGCTGCTTTAATTCGGCTTACTCACAGGTCAGGGATGTTCTTCAATTGACTTATATGATATTTGATACTTTTTTTAATTGTTTTCATAAGTCGGTTTCTAGGGTTTATCTTATTAAAAAAGTGGATTTGAATTCTGGAAACCCCAAAATGTTATGCTTATTGACCATTTTATGGTTCTTTTTGCTTTTTTGGGTTTATGGGGTTTATATTGTATTTTGGAATTTCAATTTCTGTTGATTGTTCGGGTTCTTATTTGTGATCCTTATATTGGAGAAATTATGGGCATTAAGGGATTCTCTTCATTCTGATTTTGATGAGCACTATATTACAGATGTAGGGGTTTAAATAATTTATCTTTGGATGTATCAAAAGCATTCTTAATTTGTATTGACAAATTTGTGGATTCAAATTATGTTGGTTTTTACTCTATAACGTTTTGGGCTTTTTTATTTGACTTGAAAGAGGAGTGTTTGTGCTTTCTTATTTGAATTGAGGTTATCTTTGCTCCATTTGGATTACGGGTGATACTATTTTAGCTTGAAATGGAGTGGTTTTACTACAAAATTTGAATTAACGTTATTTTGTACTCTAACTAGATTTGGGTGACTCTATTTAGCTTTGGTGAAGATGGAGTGATATTGCTCCTGAATTATGTTTGTCTCCCTTGAAATGCAAAATATCTGTTGTTTGTAGAATACAAAGCATGATCATGGAGGTTTGCTCGTTATTGAGTGTCTTAGTTTTTAATCTGAACCATGGAAAGTTACTTTAACTTGAATTGAGTCTTTTGCTCTTGTAGCTGATAGGAGTCCGCTCATCTAGCAATACTGGTAAGGGAAGGAGCCATCAAGGTCGTAACAGGATTAACTATGGATTCAACTTAGTGAAGGGAAAGGCAAGCCATCCTATGGAGGATTATCATGTTGCAAAGTTTGTCCAGATAAGGGGACAAGAGCTTGGGCTATTCGCAATCTATGATGGTCACTTGGGAGATAGTGTTCCTGCTTACCTCCAAAAACATCTCTTTTCAAATATATTGAAGGAGGTTAGTGATCAGTTAACTAATGTAGAGCTACAAAGTCAAATGAAATAATGTTTTGGTACGTTAATGGGACAATGCCATATGGGGAGCCTAACTCTGTGACAGATAGCCTATTGATTGGGGGATAAACATAATGACATAATTTTCTTATCAGTTTTAGAAAAGTTATGTTTTTTGGGATGTTTTCGAATACGGAGTTTTGTTGGTGACACTTAAAAAGGAAAATTACAAAATTTTTGGAAATAGTGAAAGATGAAAAAGTATACCTAACATTTCATTCTTCATTTAAGTTTTATAATCTTAACTTTAGAAAATGAATAAGGAAAAATTACAAAATGACATATATTCTGGATATTATCTTTTTCTTTTAAAACATTGTGTGATATTTTCATGACTTCTTGGGCAATGTTGATATTAATCACTATGGTTAACTAAGGAGTAGTCAGGCCATTACTATTTTTTTTATGGTTGCTTTTGAATTTTCTGTTTGAAAGAATACGAGGAATCAATTAGAAAATAGGCCATTGCATCCTTATACTTTACTCCCTTTTTTTGTTCTTTCCCGCTTATATTTTATACATTATATATTTTCAGGAAGAGTTTTGGACCCATCCTGATAGATCGATTGTGAAGGCTTATGAGAGGACAGACAAGGCTATTCTTTCACATAACCCTGACTTGGGGAGGGGTGGTTCCACTGCTGTTACAGCCATTATTGTAAATGGTCAAAAGCTATGGATTGCCAATGTTGGTGATTCAAGGGCAGTTCTTTCTAGGCGTGGAGCCGCTATACAGCTAACGACGGATCATGAACCTAGCACTGAGCGTGGGATCATTGAAGAAAGTGGCGGTTTTGTTTCAAACATGCCAGGTTCTTTTTTCATTTAACCATTGGAAAGAACTTTTTGTTTTTTGATATCAATATGGAGCCAGGTCTAGTTATACTGAAAGTCTACTATAAACCAATGTCCTTGGTTTATCAATATCCATTCAAATGGTGGGTGGTAATGGAGCGTGGTGGTTTTGTTTCAAACATGCTAGGTTCTCTTTTCATAGAACTATTGGAAAGAAATTTATGTTTCTTGATATCAATATGGTGCCAGGTTTAATCATACTGAAAGTCTACTATGAACCAATGTCTCTGGTTTATCAATATCCATTCAAATGATGGGTGGTGATGGAGAACCCACCTTTGGAGTGATATGGTGGTCCTACTTAACTCCATCACCGTCCTATCATTTCAATAGAGGGTGCTGATCTGATTGATTTTTCACATGTGATTCTTGTACCCTTTTCCTTTTGTATGGATATTACTTTTATTGTATTCAACTGGAATATTAAACTGACTGGTTCCACAATCTTTTCTGATCTAATTTAATTTTCTTCACATTCCAAATCTAGTTTAAGCATAATTTACAGGTGACCGGGTTTCTTTGCCTTTCTATTTTTCTATTAGTTATAAGGATGCAGTTGATGTACTTAATATAGTGTAACTTGAGTGCGATGAATCTATTGTCTTTTCTAAGCAAAGATGATATATTCCTGTCCATATGTTATGGAATACTCATTTTTTTGGGAGAAGAATTTCTTATATCCCACTATGGGTATACTTGTTTTCCTTATAATGACATATGCTTTGTGTATTTTGTGTATCATATGAAGTATGTTATACGAATTTGGTCAGAATGCTTCAAGAACATATATACATATGCCTGCATTCCTGGTTAAGGGTGATTTTTGGTTTTATTTTCTCTGTCACTTCATTTTTTATGACAGGAAACTTAGGACTTTGCTGAATTCCTCGTTGATGTTTCTCTCTCTCTCTCTCTCTCTCTCTCTCTCTCTCTCTCTCTTTCTCTCTCCCCCCCCCCACCCCTCCCCACAGACACGCACACATTGGCACAATTTTTTCTCATTTCATGGTATGCTTCTTGCACTTTCTAGGCTGAAGCATTCAGGACTGCCACTGATCTCATTAATTGTGTACTATTGTCATCTCTAAAGTGTATTTCCCTTTGTGGATGTTTAATTAGCATTTCTTCAATCTATTTAGATTTTGGGCTTATCAAATTTACTTTGAGCTTTTTGGGTTTTTATGCTATGTTCTGATTCCTCCTTTCTTGACATATTTGAACTTAAAACATCCAATTACATTTCTTGTACTGTATGCTGATCTAAGCAGAGACTATGGAGTGGTTATCCAAAATCTAAACATCTTTTTATCTCTTAGATTCTGCTTTTGTTTACGCCCTTTTGGTGTCACTTGATGTATCTATTTCCCCTTGGAATTTTCCCAATGGCTGTATATGCATATATCATCACCATGTTTCTCTCTTTATGAAATTATATCATTTGGATTCCCTTTGCACCCAAATATCATTTCCTCCTACGGTTACATTGGATCATAGTCCATCAAGTTAAACTTATTCTTTGACGCTGCAATGAAGGAAACTTTATGGAATTCAACATCTGATTGAGAACAAAATTTAGCCACATGATCTCAAGTGTACATCCTCTTTGATATGGTTTTTAGTCTGTTGTTGCTTCTCTTCTACTTTCTCATCCTTTCTTTCAGCCTTGAAATCCTTCTCACACCCTTCTTTTCAAGGTCTCATCACAAGCTTGTTGGCAACAACTGATGTAGGTCCAATTGTAAATTGGAATTGGATACTACACAAGCATGTAAAATCTCAGTGGACTTGGGAAATATATGCTACATGGGTTTCGGTTGAATAGATTCTCCAAAACTTCGTAGGGTGGACGAGAAAGGACTCTAGAGGTGGTTAACATGTAGGCTAGGAGTATCGGTAAACATGGTCGCAGCAGTGATATTGGGGTTACGGCAGATGTTTTTAATAATTAATTTATCAAATGGCATATTTGGATGTCATTTGGTATTACAATTACTTTAATAAAAGAACCTCAATATTACAAATGAGTAGCAATGAGGTCAAATTTGAAGTCATCTCACTCCTAAAAGGCAAGTCAATCCAGGATCTCTCTCTATCTCTCTTTACCTCAAGCCTCACATGCTAGAGGCTGAGCATTCCTCTCTCTCGCTCTCTCAACCTCAGACAGGGCTGCTAACAGGCCCAGGCCGAGGGCCTGCATCGGCCACATGATAAGGCTCGTGAGCTGGTATCGGCCCGATCCTAGGCCTAAGCCAAGGATCATCATCATCATTAGAGCCTTTCCCAACTAATTAGGGTCAACTGCCTGGGCCAAGGGTGATAAATTAAAATACAACAAAGTATTGTGTTGGAAATTGAAAAAGAAAAAAGATAAGAGAGTTCAAGATCTAGAAGGAGAGAGAGGTAGAGAGAGATAGATGAGAGAGAGGGTCAATGAGGAGGAAGGGAGAAAATGAGGGTCATAGTGGTGTCTTTTAGACCCCCACACCCCATTTATACACTTCATTTTAATAATAAAATTTCAAAGTACGAAACTGCCCCTTTAAGTACAAGAAAAGGCAAATAAGTCCTCAAGGACTGGAATACAAGAATAAATTAATATAAACTTAGTAATTCTTAACATTCCCCCTCAAGCTGGTGCATAGATATCTTTCATGCCTAGCTTGCTTAAAATTGTTTGTAGTCGAGGTTTCCCAACAAACTTGGTAAGAATGTCTGCCAATTGGTTTTGGTTTTAACATATGGAAGATAAATTTCCTTGGTAGCCACCCTTTCTTGAATATAATACCGATCTACTTTTATATGCTTCATTCTATCATATTGAACTAGTTTATGAGCTATGCTGATTGTCGCCCTGTTATCACAATACAAGGACATTGACCATTTCACAGATTAACAAAGTTATAATAAAAGGATTTATGGTTCGCATGATTCATGAGTCATGGATCTATACTCAGCTTCAACACTTGATCTTACTACAACTAATCGCTTTTTACACCTCCAAGTTACAAGGTTCCCTCCAACAAAAGTACAATACCATGATGTTGACTTCGATCCATGATAGAACCAGCCTAGTAGGTGTCTGTATAAGGCTTCAATTCGTAAGTACCCATGATTTGCAAGTAATAGTCCTCTTTTTAGCGATAGAGTACCTTGAGATTTGATTTGGCGGGTGTTGGAAAAGAAAGGTGTCTCTAGACACTACATCGACTTGGTGAGAGATATGTACGGTGGAGCGTTAACTAGTGTACAAACAACTAGTGAAGAGATGAGTGAGTTTTCAGTGACAATAGGTCTACTTCAAGGGTCAGCATTGAGCCCGTACCCCTTTGTCTTAGTTATGGACGACTTAACTAGGCACCTACAAGATGATGTATTGTGGTGCATGTTGTTCGCAGATGACATAGTTTTGATTGATGCATGGTTAAGGGAATCTTGTGGGTAGGGTGACGATCCCTCTTCGGAACCTCGATACCATGGTTCTTGCAAGGGATCTTGTAAGGATCCATGTTTTTCGACTTTGGGATCTCGCTCCCAAAAAAGGGATCCTCGTTCTATCCATCAGTGATATCCAATTCTATTTCGAAATAGATCCCCGCTCCCATCAACCATGGTCCATGGTTTTGGTACATTAAAATCTTGAGTTCCATGTTTGTGGTATCTACTTTCATTCACGGATGATACTAGGTTAGAGATTGTCATTGTTCGAAGTTCCCATTATTTAGGAATCATGAGTTCCATGATGGTAAAATCCAGTCCCTTTTTCGCATAACAAGGAGTTCCATTATTTTAGGTTCTTAATTTGAACTAGACATAGTCTAAGAGCGATCCATTGTTTTATTAAGTCATATTGTATAAGCTGTCCCTTTTAGTTGTGAGAATATATGTTTCATTTAAAATCTTATATTTATGATGCCCTATTGTTTTGGATTCTTAAATCACAATGATGAATCCTCTTAGTTGTGAGATAAAAATATATGCTTTCATTTCAAGCTTTAAAAAGCTTCTTTTACATCTGAGAGAGAGAGAGAGAGAGAGAGAGAGTAGTTCATCTTGTCCTCTTGCCCCTTCGGAGAGCCTGCCTTTGAGAAACAATGGAAGCAAAGGAGACTACATTCGAAGAAGATGACCCTTGAGTGGTAGGATTCTAGGTAGCTGGGGACTCCAACAGAATGGTGGGTGTCAAACTTTTGTCTTGGCCTGACGATGTAGTGGGAGGGACGGGCCTCGGTAATGGAGCAGCCTGACGAGCCTTATAATCAGCATCAAGGCAGCGCCTACTGCTTCTAATGCCCCAACATCATCCTTGAGGTGGTCAACATCAAGATGAAATTCCCACCCTTTGTACTTCTCTGCATGGTCTGATCGTAGTCTACTTAACAACCTGTCATTGTAGTGAACATAAACCAATGACTCAAAGCGTAGAGCATTTAACATGTTCAGCTTAGCACTGTGACTATAACTATACGTACTCCAGCACGTTTCAACACATGGCGAGTTGACATTCTGAGACAACACCCTAACAGGTAGTGAATATAATTCAGGAACCCCACCACTATATAGATCCCACCACGAAACAGTTGACATTTTTCCTCTATCGGAAATGGATGCCGGGAGTAAGAAGAGAACAGTTACTTACAAAATCATTGATGTATTGTTGTATTTTGCCCCTCTCATTCTCGTCTGGGTACTACCTTTCAAGCACATCAAGATAAGATGATGTTACTTCTTTATCGTGGTGCGACTTAAGCCTCTTCTCCCCACTAGGAGTTGGCATAGTTAACCATTCCCGAGAGTGATACTTAGGACTTATAACATATGCCAAACATAGTTAAGAACCTTGATATTTAAACAAGAGGAACCCCATTATATAACATACTTAAACCTCGATTCTTTAACTATGGGAACTTGTACTAACTCTACTTGACAACACCATTTTTATGTATAGTGGAGCTTAGAT